CGCCCCAACCCCACGCACCCCCCCCTGCCTCTGTCTCCCGAGTGCTGGGATTAAAGGCGTGCGCCTCCACCGCCCACCGCCCACCGCCCCGCGGTGGTGGTGATTTTTATGGTGCTGGGGGGATGGACTCCAGGGCCTGGCCCACAGTAAGTAAGGGCTCAACCCTTAAGCCACATTCCACCCATGAGATTCTGAACATTATATAACCTAGCTAATCTATACAGAGGATTTGATAATACTTAGTCAAAGCATTACAAAACCTAAGAACAGTAAAAGCAGAGTCCCGGCTCTTAACACAGTACAGAGCACACCACTCGCAACTCGGGGCACCTCTCCAAGTGTTGGGGTGGATGGTGGAGATGCCAATGTGTACAGGGTCATATTTGCTCAGAAGTGGTACTATTTACTTCTCAGGTATCCTAAAATGCTAAAATCTTTAACAAAAATCCTGATTTGGCTGGAGGCTGGTGGTCCACCAATTCTGTTTGGGCCTCTCTTCTCTTAAGACATAGGACAGCTCACCTCTCAGAGGGCAAGTCAACAGGGCTCACCAGGTCCTCTGAGAACCTGGGTTGAACCCACAGCACCCAGGTACTACTATTGCTATAATTTAACTTTACTCTTTAAAAAATAACTTCCCCTAACATTATTCTTTTAAGAGGAAATGTCAGAGAACTATGCAGGGTTGAGTTTGGGGTGTGGGAAGGTGGCCCCTGCTGCAAGTCTTCCCTCTAATTCCCGTCGGGTGACGGCAGTGTGGGATCCTGATAGTTCATGTCCCAGTGGGGACAGGAAGGACTGTGGATTCCTTGGGCTTATCTTCTGAGCCAAGTATGCTGTGTGTTTCATGCCCCATCCTGTCCCACCCCTCCCCCTCACTCACTGTCGCAGAAGCTGTCGCCCCTCCTTCCACACCAACGGGCTGTTCTCCAGTGTGACCGACTCCACAGGGCCATTAGACACTAGAGAGAAGAGAGGAGGCCGTCTCAGTGAAGGCATGGATACTTTCCTGTCACCCCTCCATCCTCTCCCATCAAGTCTGAATCTGCCACCATCACCGCCCTTGTCCCCACCTCCTGAGTGCATTCCACCCACTCTCCCACACCAAGTGACTCCTCTCTTGGATGCTCTCCTCACTGCTAGGCTTCTGACTGGCCGCTGCCAACCGCCCCCAATAACAGAGCCGTGCCTCCACACGCATGGCTGGCTGCTCCTTCCTATGCAGGGAGTGGGCAGACTGGCTCTACAAAGTGGGCAGGCTGGGGTCGAGTCGGCTCTGCACTTCCTAGAGCAGCTCTGAGCACCTACGAAAGCCTGCTTCCCATGAAACAGCTTTCACCTCTCAGGGTGAGGAGACGCTGGCTGTGAAACCTGCTCTGTGCATTGCTCATCGGGTATCCACTGGGCATCTATAAGGCTGGGATAGACGCCTGGGCCACACCAATCAAGAACTCACATCTTGGCAGGAGAAGATGACCTCCCTCCCTTGACCCCGAGGCCAAGGGCTTCACAAAGCCCTAGACCAAGCTCCCAGCATCAGCGGCACAGCCAAACACACCGTCTACCCGCACTGCCTGGATACTAGTGCTCACCTGAAAACACCCATCCCCTCCCTCCCATGGGCATCTGGCCCCTCCTCCAGTGCCCACAGAACAGGACTACATCTATCCTGCTCTTCACCGTGCCCCTGTCCTGTGACAGGAAGCCAACAAACACATCATGTATCAACTTTTGAGGGTAAATGACTGAATGACAGTCCAGTGCAAACACCACCTCTTCAGTGACGTCTTTCCTACGCTTTCCAAAGCATGCCATAAATAGTTCCACTCACTCCCCTAGCAGGAGGAAGCAGGAGCTGCTGGGGCGTCCATCACGCCCTGAGGACAGCAGGATGGCAGGCAGGTGGGGCTGGGCAGTCTGAAACAGGACTGATGGGAAGACACACCAGCATGCAGCTCTACCCCACTCCACCCTACAGCCACTGCTGCTTTTCAAGGAGCCAAGTAAGAAAGCACAGGAGGCCATCTGCAACGTCTCTCTCTATGCCAAGCAGCTGCCATGCCAGCGTGGCCAAGGGAGGGTGCAAGTGCAGGTACCTTGTTCGGACACATCTGTCTTCTTCTCCCCCTGGTTCAGGTCTGTCCCGAACTTCAGCTTATGGTATTTGGCCCTAAAACAGCAAATAACAAATGAGTAGAGATGAGTAGACAGGGCGATGCTGGGTGGTGGGGGCGCTCGCCTTTAGTCCCAACACTTGGGAGGCAGAGGTAGACAAATCTCCACGAGTTCAAAGCCAGCCTGGTCTACAAAGCAAGTTTCAGGACAGTCAGAGCTATACAGAAAGGCCCTGTCTCGAAAAACAAGACAAAAAAGCAGACAAGGCAAAGACCACCTCAGAAAGCCCAAGTCCCAGGCCTCTTTCATTCACTCCCTGCCCCACAGTACCAGCTCTAATAGCCTCAGTTCCTTCCCAGAACCTCAGCCAGCAACACCATCAGACTGTGGCAAGAATAAGCAAGGTAGCAGCTGTCCAGAATTGGTGCACACAGGTTTGCCAAAGTCCCTAAAGCTGCTGCTGGCAGCTGAATCCACCCACCACAATCTGTTTCACCCCGCTCCTGGGGATGACGGGAAGAGGAAGGTGGAGAAACTTCCTCTGCTGGCAGCCTGCCACCCTATCTGAAACAGTGACCTCTCTGGCAGGGGCAGCTCTCACCTCTCCTGCTTTAGTGCATATTCTAGCATCTTGATCCGCCGCACCAGGTCCGTCTTTAGATTCTCTTGGCCTTTCCTCTCACCTTGGAGGAAAGCCACCTGAGCCTGGGACAGAAGAGAAAGTTAGATAGCATGGCTGAGGGTCACTGATGCTGTGTCTCCCTCCCCAGTTCAGGAACAGCTTCAGGGCCTCCCCCACAGCGATGCCAGTGTTCAATAAGAAGAGAGGACAGGCTGGGCCCACCTCCAGGGTCTCCGGGTCTACTACCCATAAAAGAGCTCAATCTATAATCTCAGCACTTGGGAGGCTGAGGCAAAGGGACTGCTACACCTTCAAGTCTAGTATGAGCTAAGATTAAGACTCTACCTTACAAAGAAGAAAAGGAAAAAGAAAAGAAAGAGAAGCTGAGGAGCCATTTTTAACCCATGGAGTTCAAACAGGGACAGCATGGCCTGACTTGGCTATGGCCTTCTGAGGAGTTAGGTCAGGGATGGGCGGGGGCGTTAAGCATTAACAGCTGTGTCCCTATGGTTGCTGGTGGAGGCGGCAGCCCACTCTTCCTTCAGAGCGTCTGTTGCTGGGAGGCGTAGGAAGCTACTTCTGGCACTCAGGGACAAGAGTAGGAGCCTGGGCTCAGCTCCCACTGCAATGCAGAGCCTTCGGAGTTTTATGCTGCCCAGGGCATGAGGAGATGGGCCCCAGACACGGTGTACAGTCCCTGCCAAGCTCTCCTCCCTGTCTGCTAGTTGGGCTGCTCGAGCAGCCCTTCTACCAAAGCCCAGAGCACGGGACTCTTGCTGGCTTCCTCAGAATGGCTCCCCTGTTCCAGCCCAAGGCAGCCTGAGAACCAGGCTCTGCCGCTGATTTGCTGTGGACACTTAGCTCACCAGTCTTCCTCTTTTAAGAGAATAGAGCACCGTGGGCACTGTTCCTTCATAAGCAGCTCTTAACCTACCACGAGGGCTGCTGTACCAGTCCCCACCTTTGCCTCTCTTCATTTTTTCACCCTGTCCCAGCTAGTCAAAGGGACCTAACCCTGAACCAAGACCCATCAGAGAGAGCGCCTTGGGAGACCAGGCCCTTGCAGATGGCTGTCTTCCTGGGGCCCTGCTTCCTGCACATCATAGGTCTGAAGTGCTTCCAGGGCTCCCCCAAAAGCTCACAGGCTGACCTGCCCGGTTCTTCCAGGCAGTGCCCACTCAAGCTGCTCAACCTTGGGGCTAGCAGGGCCCTGACCTACCCACCCTGTCCCTGTGCCCCAGGCTTGCTACCTCTCACCTCCATCTCTACCCAGGGTTAACAGAGAACTGAGGCTGACCACAAGTTAGGGAAGGGAGCTGCAGACAGAAGACAGACAACAGAGCAGGGCAGACTAAAGACACTCTTAAAAGTAGAGCAAGGCTGCATGCATCAGAATGGGAAACTAGGGTTAGTGAACAAAGTGGGAGAAAGGGCCATGGGCCACAGAGACAGACACGGTGTCTGCCGGCAGAGCACAGGGAAACCACAGAAGAAAGCTATAACCAGGTGTGTACCAAAGTCATTACAACTACAAGTGGAGAACCAAGTGTGAATTTAGCAAAGCTCTAAGAGGATGCACCCCAATAAAAGCAGCAGCCACAGAAACTCTAGGACTGGGCAGGGGATGTCAGAGTGCTGGCCTAGCATACACGAAGCCCTAAATCTGATATCCAGCACCACATAAAATTGAGCATGGTGGCATTAATATGTGTAATCTCTACAAACACACGAATAAATAAATCCAATAGAAACTTTTTTAAAACCCAAAAGAACTGAGACTAGTTGAGTAGGGGCCTCACCAGCACCCTCTCAGTCTGCTGTCCTTTTCAATCCTTCTGGTGGAGAAGAGGAAGGAGAACCAGGAAGATGTGGCTGAAGTGTCTTGCATTGGTGGAATCCCAAAAAAACTAACTAGGAAGTGTTGGCCCTGGCCTGTCAGTCTCCTGCAGGAGGGCAGCAGGGGAGCTGGGAATTGCAAGTGCCAGGCCCTCCAGCCACAGGGCCCGACTTGGGGTTGCCATCTCTTCCAGGCTGCTCCTCTAAGGCAGCACCCTCCCGGAACACAGAGCCACTCCTGCTGCAGGTCTTCTCACCCTTGAGCTCCCACTCAGTGTGTGGCCTGGAACCTATAGCTCACACAGCTCCTGACAGGGAGCTTCCCCTGGATCCCAGAGTGCCCAGTAGGCTGAGGGGAGAAGGAACTGCGTGCGCACTTTCTCCCTGGAGCCCCATCTACTCTCTCCATGGCAAGAACATGGGGTTCAGACCTCTCCCCAAGGCTCCTTTCTCAGAAGCACACAGCAGAGCCCCACAACTGACTTATGCATAGACACGGACAGTTCTTTGCAGTCTCCTGAATAAAGCAGCCTCTTCTCCTGGTCTAGAAGGCTCTGAGGGGCAGGAGCTGCACCCTGCTCCTGAGAAGCCGTCCATCCCAACACACTCCTCAGAGTATACCTCCACTACCTCTCTGCTCTGGACTCTGGAAGCTCCTGGCCAGCCCTCTTCCCACCCGTGTCCTTCCTGGGCACTGTATCATACATAAACAGCAGGCGCCAGCTCCTTGGTACAGACACTGCCCAGCCATGGAGGGTCTCAAGGAAGGCGCCTTTCAGAGAGTGTGAGTGCTGGATGGAAGAATGGTGAGATGGGATGCCGCATGCCACACGTGTTGGTACACCCATTACAAAGGGGTGTGATTATTCCAGCACTCAAGGATTGCGAGTTGGAGGACATCCTGGGTTACAGAGTAAGACCTGACTCAAAACTAAAAATGTGGTAGCAAGTGCCTTTAATTCCAGCAATCAGGAGCTAGAGGTGTGTGTAATTGGGGTGGGGAGAGGCTCTGAGTTTAAGGCCAGCCTGATCTATATATGAACACAGCACAGCCATAGTCACATAGCAAGACCTAGCCTCAAAAATAAAGGAAGAGAGGAAGGGAGGGAGGTGCACGGCCAAGGAGAAGACTCTGCAAGTGAGGATGCCAGACGCCAGCTGCCAAGCCTGCTGCCTGAGCTCCATCTCAGGACCCACACGACGAAGGAGAAAACCAACTCCTGCAATTTGTCATCTGACCTCCACAATAAACAAACTTAATTTTTAAAATTAAAAATAAAATTTAGCCAGGTGTGGTAGTGTACTCCTTTAATCCCAGGACTCAGAGGTACAGGCAGGTGAATCTCTGTGAGATCAAGGACAGCCTGGTCTACATTGTGAGTTCCAGGAAAGCCAGAGCTTGAAACAAAAAATTAAAATAAAATAAAATTGTAAAAAGGAGTCCAAAAGACAGATTGGTCATCACTTTAATAAAGATATCTACTTCAGCACTCCATATCACACAGGATAACTCAGTCAACAAAGCCATACTGTGTGTGTGTGTGTGTGTGTGTGTGTGTGTGTGTGTGTGTGCGCGTGCGACCAGAAGCACTATTACCCTTACCCTGTCTATTGAGACGAGACCTCTCCTCAGCCTGGAGATGTTGGTGGGTAGGCTGCCTAGCCAGTGAGCCCCAGGAACCTGCCCATCTCCACTTCTCCAGTACTGGATTACAAGTGTGCGCCACCACACCCACCTTTTTTTACGTGGGTTCTTGGGGGTTAAACTCAAGCCCTCACACTTGCTCAGCAAGTTCTTTACCACCTGAGCTGTCTCTTAAGACCTCAAAGATATTTCTGACTGGGTTGGAAAGGTAGAAACAATCCTAAAAACCAAATGACAAGGGTCAAAATAAGCTATGATATAAATATTCAAGGGAATACTATACTGTTTTATAACTTATGAAGTCACAAAGTGATATATTCTAGTACATTGCCATTCGTTGTGTGCACGCGCGCGAGCGCAAGCGCAAGCACACGCGCGCGCGTGCGCACACACACACACACACACACACACACACACACATGTCACAAAAGTACAGAGTGAAGATTCTGTTGCCTCTTACAGAGTGCCCTCCATGAGTTCCACAAAAGGTTACTTGAGGGGACACACACACACCTCTCATTAAGAGGTAGCACACACCTGTAATCCCAACGCTTAGAATGCTGAGGCAGGAGGATGGTAAGATTGAGCTGAGCTTGGGCTACACGGCGAGGGGTGGGGAGGCATTACAGTGGATGCTGTCAGCTGTGCTCAGGTCAAGTTCCGGAGGGAGGCCAAGATTCAGCCCTCACTATGCTCTGATGGCTTGGGTGACCTGCTGAGGCCTCGAAATTTCCGCGGAGACTTTTCTCACCCGTGCTGAGTTACAGAGAGGGGAAAGATCCACAGGGTTGGCCTTCTCGAGCAAAACCCCAATCCTCCTCCGCTTGTTAAAAAAAAAAAAGAGGAAGGGAAACCATTTTCCCCTCAGAATTCTACAAGAATTAAGTGATAGCATGGACCCTAGTACTTCATACAGCGTCCAGCACATCGTACGCCCCGAAGAAATAGCAGCTGCTGTCACTATTGCTGAGTGAGGTAATGGCATTGGGGCTGCCTACATAATGGGGTATTGAGAAGATCAGATGAGATGTATGCTGGGAAAGAGCCTTAGTGAGACTTGGGCACAACGCGAGGAACACTTACATAAGGATTTCTCTCCCACCACAGCCTCAGCTACCAGCTAAAGATGGAAGAAAAGTGGCATGTTGGTTCGCTTCCTTCATCCCATGGGCAAAACTCAAATCAGACGCTTACTTGGGGCCCTACTTCAGGGAGACGGGAATGAGCACACTGGAAACACAAAGCCCTGGAGTGCCAGGAGCCAAATACTACTTCTGTTAACCACATCACAGCCTAGGAACCGTTTGACTCCTGGTGGCCGGTCACCTTTCTGATTCCTCCATCTGAAGGACCACTTTCCACAAGCAGTACCTCCGTCAAGGTCACAGAGCCCGCCCCCCCCCACTCCATGAAGAATAAGCCAGAACCTTCTTTCCTTCTCCGCCAACCATCAAGTCCCTTTCCAGAACCCTGCACAAACACTTCTCTCTCAGAGTGCCCCCCACACACACCTCACGCTGTCTTCCCCCTAACTCATCACCCAAAGGCACCTCCATGCCTCTTCACTGTGTCCATCACAGGTGCTCTTTCTTGTCATCACAC